GACCATCTCCTGGGACCCCGGCGCCATGAATGCCTCCTCCCTGCATGCCTGCCCCTGCCATGTTAGGAACCTGTGGGCACAAGAGACGGGGTAAGGACCAAGGGGTCTCTGGACTCAGCCATGTGAACACAGGAACACAGAGCAGATGATCAGATGGATGCCCTCACAGCCAACCTGAAGACACCCGAGCACAAAGAAACATGTGTTTTATGAGCTCTCCTGTCCCTCCAACTCCTGCACATCAGGAAGAGGTGGAGAGGCCCAAGCCTCATCCTGTCCCCAGCGTTATGGGCAGTGCCTGGGGAGATGGACGGATGCCCTGACCCCCTCAGAGAGCCACTGACCCAAGCCTCGTGCTTCCCAGAGGTGCTGCTGCTGCAGGATGCGATCACACCCCCCACCCGGCACCCATCTACAAGACACCATCAGCGCCCAACCAGCTGGGCAGAGGTGCTGTGTGTACCTGGCGGGGCCCCTGCGGGCCACTGGCTCCCATGCTAAGCGGCCCAGGACCCTGTATCCCACCAGGCATGGGGCCACGCGGGTTGGGACCAGGCCCTCGAGGCTCCAAGCCCCGTTGCTCCATGACCCTGGCTTCCATAGCCCTGGCTTCCAGCACTCTTGGCTCCAGCCCTCGCGCCTCCAGGGCTCGCGCTTCCAGGGCTCGCGCCTCCATCACCCGGGGCTCCAGCCCTCGTGGGGATCCCTCCCGACTGCAGAGGAAAAACAAGGCAAGCTGTTGGCGAGAGCAGTGCTGCAGGGAGTGTGGAGCGAGCCCCCTACCTCCTGTGTCTGGGGGCCAGAAGGTGCAGGCCTTGGGGCAGAGGGGACATGCCTGGAAGAAGACCTTTGCCCCACGGGACTGTCCCTCCTTGCCCTGGGGTCGGTTGTTTCACTGCCCAAACCCCCTTCCTATGTCTCTTGCTGGGGCAGTGGGCTCCATTCTGACTCCTTGTCCGTGCTCTTTAAGCCACCCGTTGTGTCATGCCCCCTCTCTCACCTCGAGCATCCATCAAGGGCCCCCGCGGCTCTCCCATCAGTGGTCGGGGTTCTCCCATGGGGCCCCCCCTCATCGGCCACGGCTGTCATGCCCAGGCATATGGTGCATAGGGGCTCCCTGGTGGGGCGGCCCAAGGTAACCTCTGACGCAGAGAGACGAGGAGAGCAAAGCAGGAGGAGGAGAAAAAGCGAGAGAGTGTGAATCAGACGCTGGCTTGGCAGGGGCAGGGCACGGAGCTGGACGGG